ATAGCTGGTATGTTTAAACCATGGAGGTAAGGGTTAACAACTAACCAAGTAAACTACGGGACCCATAGGGTTCTGTTCCTACAATATACTCCTGATAAGAGTTTGCATTTATTGAGCAGCTGTGATATTTGAAGGAATTTCCAAAGAGATTTGGCCACAATAGCTCACTGAGTCCCCTGCCTCTCTGAAGCAGATGCTGTCGCTCAAGAGCTACGTTGCTGAGTCAGGGTCAGCGTGCACGTCCGTGTGGCTCACGCTAAATGCCTGGCAACTACATTTCTGTTCAGAAGCCTGTTGTCTTATTCTGGCTGTCAATCATCAATTGCAGAGATAACCCAGTGATCCACTGTACAGTAGAGAGAACAAGTAAAGAAAACAGTCTATTCAATTCAGACAACCTGGACCTCTTTCTCCTAGCAGAGCCATCTTTCTCGGGTAAGACTGCTTCCCTTCAAGTCCTTCTATCTGGCTTTTCACTTATTAAATTGATTTAGGTAATACTGACACGCAGGCAAAGCAGATACAGTTTGTTGAACAAACAAAAAACAAAAACAAATCCAAATTCATCTGTTCTGAGAGCTCATGGCTTTCCTATCCTATGGAGTGGTTCTATCCTGCATAGGTAGAGTGGCTATGAGTTGAAACAGATTCCACAGCCAACTAACAAGAACAAAAAGACAGTGTCACATGATCATCCAGTCTGTGAGCACAGGTGGGGATAAACAGTAACTCAGGGTATCTATGTATCTATCTATTTTTAAATCATTTTATTGGGGGCCCGTACAACTCCTACCACAATCCATCCATCCATCCATCCATCCATCCATCCATCCATCCATCCATCCATCCACTGTGTCAAGCACATTTGTACATTTGTTGCCATCATTATTCTCAAAACATTTGCTTTCTATCAGGTCCTTAAGGGTATATATATATCTATATATTTTATGGTATCTATATTTTGTGAGCTAGTGTAGGAAGAAACAAAATGACCATTTGAGGGCACACTGATACGGGAACCCTGGTTTTTCAAGGAAATTCCACCAACATGGGGGTTACATCTGAAGGATTTGCAAATGCTCATTTAGAGTTGAGATGCTCAACGACTACAACTGGAAACATACAAGCAAAGAGAACAATTGCCCTTCATGGCTGGGAAAATGAAGCAACATGGTCAGTCTCCGTATCAAAAGCTAACTATAGCAATAAGCACACACAGAAATTCAGACACTGCAAAAACAAAAGGAGCATGGAGATACTAGTTATGATACCAGATACAAACGGAGACCTTCAGGTCCAGTACGGAAAGAGCTAGGCAGTCACCATTTCAGTCTCCAAGAAAAATACTGACCATATTGAACTCAGGATTGAGGTCACAGGACAGGGCTTACTTCTGTTCTACATTAAAAAAAAATTAAACAGAATAACAGGCATCCACACAAGTCTTAGTCACACAGACTCGTTTGGACATGCTGGACCTGTCCTATGGGTCTCTGGGATTATGAGAGTAGAAAGCCTCATCTTAGTACTGAACAGCTGCTGGTTTCTAAAGACTCACGTTGGCATTAGCAGCCCAGTGCATAACCCACTACACCACCACAGGCACAGAGGGTCACTATAATTTGGAGTAAATTTGATGGCATCTAACAACTATAAAGGTATTCTTTAAATGATTTTAATTAATTGGGGGTACTGAGGTCAAAGGTAAACATCTGTCTTCAAAACTGTGTGAAACACACAGAGAGTCTGTACCTGGATTTTTACCCTGAAATCATTCTGTGTACCTGTCTATGGCACCCTCGGTGTGGGCCTCTCTTTCATCCTGTGGCCTCTGTAGTCTAACTAAATTTAGTGAAAACAGTAGTGAGTTAAAGGATGTGGTGGGATTAACCCATGGGCAGCTGAAAAGAGATTGTTCCCAGAGGGGAAGACACCACAAGGCAGCAGGTGGGAGTTTGCCTGGTTGTTTAAAGATGGTCAAACCCCAGCTTGACCAACTAAGTTTTCTTAAGGGTAAAAGATGTCAGAAAGGACTCTGATTGAGACTGAAAGAGAAAATAATATCCAAATAGGCTGCAGTCAAGAAATACGTACCATGCTCCTAAGCAACCATCCTCCATCAATAAATCAGTTTCCAATAGTCACAATTTTTGTTATACTTCGCAAGTTTGCAAAAAATGTGTATCTAATTACATTTAGCGACACATAATCAAGAAATTGTAAAGAATAAGGCCCGCGCTTGTCCTCACACAACTCCCTGTCAACTATCTAGTCCAACGCATAGTAAACTTATCAGACAAAGGACAACTGCCCTACAGGATTCCCAGGACTGTACATCTTTTTCTATTTTTAGGACTGAACATCTGTACAATACTGTACTGTACGATGAGGAGCAGGCACTCATCATTCTCCCGTACAGTTTGGGTGAGTTTCAATAGCACACTTTGCAGCAGCAATCTATGTTTAACCTGTTTAATCTATGTTTAACTGCAACACCAGGGCTCCTCAGTTCACATATACTACTGTATTCAAATACACTTAATTCATACATGGAGCTCTAATCTATTTGCCAAGAAAGTATCATTATAGGACCACATAACAGACTAACAAGACTACAGAAGGGTAGCGGGGAGGAGACGAGCCAGTCAGCGTGCAGTGTAGCAACGATGAAACACACAACTTTCCTCTAGTTCTTAAATGCTTCCTCCCCACCACGATCATGATCCCAATTCTACCTTACAAAGCTGGCTAAACCAGAGGATGTACACTGGTACAGATAGGAACTGGAAACAGGGAATCCAGGGCGGATGAAGCCCTCAGCACCAGTGGAGAGAGTGGCGACACCAGGAGGGTGGAGGGAAGGTAGGGTGGAAAGGAGGAACCGATTACAAGGAGCTATATATAACCTCCTCCCTGGGGACAGACAACAGAAAAGCGGGTCAAGGGAGACGTCGGACATTGTAAGATATGACAAAATAATAATAATTTATAAATTATCTAGGGTTCATGAGGGAGGGGGGGAGTGGGAAGGGAGAGAAAAAAAAATGAGGAACTGATACCAAGGGCTCAAGTAGAAAGCAAATGTTTTGAGAATGATGAGGGCAATAAATGTACAAATGTGCCTGACACACAATGGCTGTATATATGGACTGTGATAAGAGTTGTATGAGCCCCCAATAAAATGATTTTTTTAAAAAGACTAACAAAACCAGATGACAACCCTCAAAAAGGTCCCACTGGTTTCTGAGGGAAGTTGATTCACGACACAGAACGCAATGCAGGGTGCTGACAGGAAGCACTCTCCCTTTAAGGTGCGGGTGCCTAAATGTTCTCCCTGACTAGTGTACAAAATAGAGTACACAGCTAGCCAAAAAAAAATAGTTTAGAGGTTGGAGATTGAAGGTAAAGTACAAGTGCCTGGAAGAAAGATGTGTGACCAATGTTTGACAAGTCAGCCACTGAAAACCCCGTGGACTGGAGCTTTACTGACACACTCCGCGTCACCACGTGGAATCAAGGGGTAGGGTTAGCGTTTAACATGCAGAAAGATCCAAACAGGCAAAACTAAACTGCAAAGAGTTGTCATGAATTGACAATAAGAGCGATAAACAATAGCATAACACATGAAAGACAGTTCCATCGGGGAGTTTACAAAGTCGTGCGAAAAGCCCTTATTTCCATAGAACTTGTCTGATTTCAGAAGGCTTCTCTATCTGAACTTTGGAAACCTGATCTTGGAGTTCACATTTCTATCACTAGAGGAGCCTGTGGCTCCTGTGTCGAGCTGCCAACTGCAAGGTCAGTCGTTGTTGTCCCTCCTGCAGGCTCGCTATTCATTGGAAACACCTTGAAGGCAGTGAGTTTGAAGTTTTTGGAAAGCAAGCTTGTCAAACCAAATAGTAGACAGCACGCAAGGGTCCACTTAGAAAATATGTGAAAATTACAACCGAGACCATTGATGGGCAACAGGGAGGCGTTTTCTGGGTTACAAACAGGGCTGTGAATGGTAACATCAGTAGTTTGAAACCACCAGCCATTCTGAGGGGAAAAGTTGAGGCTTTCTACTCCCATAAAGAGTTAGTCTCAGACACCCACCGCGGTATGTCTACATTGTCCTATAGGATTGCGATGAGTGGGCATTAACTCAATGATGGTGATTTTTTATGTCCTGTTACTCAAAGCCCAGGAAAATGTGTTATTTAAATAGCGCAAATTCTAAGATACCTATTGTGTAAGAGAGAAGAAATAATAGGTTTACCTCAACTGTCACTCTTACATCCATTCAAACAGGTGTTTTTTCTGTATTTGAGAAATTGTCATGCAATCATGTGAAAATGGCTCAGGAGAAGCACCAGCTGCTCCAGGAACTGTAAACCCAAGAAGTTCAATGCATCACCTGAGACGATGAGCGCCCCCAGCAGCAAAGCCCACTGTTATTACAGATTCCTCCTCCACACTGTGGGGAGCGGCTGAAAAGTACAGGACTTAACACCAGCTCCTGCAGAGATGGGCGGCTGGGTTAGCACTCACACCGGAAAGAGAGGCCTCCCACACAATGCAAAGCCTCCGGGAAATAACATCCCTCCAAATCAGAACCATCTGGAGAGCCCACACACAACCGGACTGGACTCCCTGTCCCTGGGGCCTCATTCATTGAAGAATTCATAGGAGGACCAAGCCCACCTAGGACTCCATTAACAGGCAGAACCTTCAGCAACTCTCTTCCATTTTCTACCACATCACACAGAGGAAGAGGTAGAACTGTTGTTTTAGAACTGGTACACAAATGGCTCCAGGGTCTGGGTAGTGGGCCCACAGGAAAGGCCCACTAACGGCTGAGTTGAGACCCCAGATGCCTTTTAGAGTTCAGACACTACGCTTCCTCTGCCACCTTTTCACCTTACTGAGGGACCTCAGGGCCAGCAGTAAGCAGCACGTCAGTACATGCAATCAGCCTCTTTTCCCTTAGCTACCACACACCCCTTCCCTGTAGGACTCACCATCCCAGCTCCACCTTCTCTAAGTCTTGTTGAATGAGCTCTTTGACTTCAAGAACACAATTCAGAGAGGGCTGGGAGTAGAAGCAGAGGCACTAGGTTGTTTGGACACAGGTGAATGATGTGTGGTCCGCAGTCAGTCAGAAGGGTTAAAACCCTGACTCAGGAGGCAAGGTGTGAGCAAGAACGTTGCCCTTAGTCTCCAGTTGCCTAAAATAGACCAAGTCTCCATTCACCTGGGACCTGAAATGGAAGGACACACGGTTCAGTACGGAGGAAATGCCAGGATCTTGGCCCTTGACTCTTGCCCTAGCTAGAGCTTCCTCCCAGACTCAAGGTCATGTTCCATTCTGAGGACATCTGCATAAAAGGCAGATGCTGATCCCGCATCCCAGATCACAGGCTTGCATTGTTCACGTACTTCACAGGCCCCTTCCGCTATCAACAAGGGCAAAGTCTGACGAGTGTCCACATCCAAGAACATGCGGAGCATCTAGGCCTGCCCGGGCTAGAAACGTGAACCTCCTGATGCAGAGAGAGCTCTGACATGAGAGGAATGGAGAAGGGGCAGTAGCAGAACCAGAAGCAGGAGCTGGAGTAGGACAGAGTGCTGGGCTCCCCGAGACACACAGACAGTAATGCTGAGGCCATTGGGGCAGGGGACTAGCATGTGGCAGGGGGGTGGGGGTGCATCTAAGCCCATAATTGGGTGCGTAGGTTTGTTGACCCATGGGACCTGGAAATGAATGCCTTTGCTCTGAGGCTTAAAGCAGAAGGGCACATCCTTTCGCTGTTTATTAGCTGCTCCCCCTGCCCTCCTCGGCACCCCCAAAGAACTCTGTAACAGGCACTACTGGAACAACTCTATCTGTGGGATATAAAAAGACATCCCCAGCTTTGTCTCCCGGAAAGATATGCCAAACATTAGAGGCTGTTTGCCAACATGGTGATGGGAGATCAAATGCTTAGAGATATTCTCCCTGAAGGCATTCAGACTGCTGTCTGGTCCACTGTAGGTGGGCTTCACACCCTACTGATAATGATTTCCATGAAGAGCCAGAGAACAGGTGAAACCTGCTCAGTGACATCCAAAATTAGGCTGCCATCTTAATCTGGGATCCACCCATCTTGTCACATGTATGCCCCAATCTCTCCCCTTCCTGTTGTCTGTATACCCCTAGTTTCATCCCCCTCCCATTACTATATTACCTATAGTACAACTCCTTCCAGTGACATATGTCTTTTCCTGTAATTAGGGGGCCTGCACGCCCCCCAAAGATATATAAACCTCAGTTAGCAACAAAGAACACTCTCTCCTTTTGCCCACTCCCCCTTCCTCTCCTGGGTTCTTTGCTCCCCTGTTTCCTTTCCCCTTGTCCTCCTTCCCTTCCCCCTCTCCTGCCCTCCAGTCTCCCATCTCCCTGTGAACCACCAAGTGGGCTGAGGAGAGCATGCTACCATGATATGTGTCTGACTTCTTTATTTGACTCTCTCTCCCATTTCTCCATGACTTTATTATAACCTTTATATATATCTTAACCGTACAATTGCGCCTACCGAATCCGTGATTAGTTGTGGGGGCCTGGCTACTCCCACACTCTATCCTGAGCATTTCTCACCTTCATTGTAATAATGACATCAATAAACACCTTAATCATGAATACTGTCTCTGAGTTCTGCGTAATGAACTCAATAGCTAAGTAGAGAATGTTTGGTGACAGAACACAGAACATGGAAGAGACGGACAGACACAGCGGCTGCCACAATAGGCTAGGACTTAACAGCAATTGAAAGGAAGGTGGCAAAACCAGGCAGCCTTTTCTCCTGGTGTAGACACGGTAGCTGTAAGACACAGTTGCAAAGGGGGAAAAAAAGAGGACCTGAAACCAAGGGCTCAAGTAGAAAGAAACTGTTTTGGAAATGTTGATGGCAATATATGTACAAGTGTGCTTAATACCACTGAATGATGGATTTTTATATAAGATTTATAATAACCCCCAATAAAATTATTAAAATAAATAAATAAAATCTTAAAAGGTAAAAAAACAACAACAAAGATACAGTTGCTACGGGCAGAAACCAACAGCAAAGTGTAAGAGAGCCAAAGTATGACCCGAGTGTATCCATGCACATTTAGAGACCATAGCAAGAGCAGCTTTGATACACTGAACACCAATGACCAGAGAACTGAAAAGAGAAAAATGTCATTTATGACAGGAAAGAATGAAAACGAACACAGTAGGTGTCAGAAGAGATATCACAACAGAATGTGACAAACCTGGAATCTGTGAACTAAACGGGAAGAGCACTTGCAATAAACTGAAGCTGAAGAGGAAGAAAAAATTAAGAGTTGCAGTTGGAAACTTGAAGGATCCAGAGTAAAATACTGGATGATTCAAGAAGCTCTGAAAGAGAAGGGATGAAAGAAAATGAGTCACTAAACCAAAGGACAGGGTCAGCAGCAAGCATTTCTAGAGGGAGCATAGGATGAAGAACAGAGTACAAGGGACTTGCTCAAGTTGTATTTCTGGGCTGAGGAACTGCATCTCATCTAAAGGCCTGGCTGTGGCTCCTCAGGGGCACAATGAAGCGCTTGATGGCCAAGCCCAAAGGAGGCCAGTTTACATCCACCTCAAGGGTCTCGGAAAACACCACCTGGAAGTCCCTAAGGAACCGTTCTCCTCTGTACCGCTAGGGGTCATCATGAGTCAGAGTGGATTCAAAGGGAAATAACAATAGAGAGAGTTCTGGCCTTTGTCCTGACTCCTGGAGGGTCACCTCTATAACCTGGTAAGAGGACTGACTGCCTTTGAGACTGAGGTTGGGCTCCTTGGTCTGCACCTGATAGTTCCTACTACAGTTTACACACCGTGAAGGCAGTTCAGGCCAGAAAGACAAACCACATGATCAGAGAGTTGGAACTTGTGCTTCTATAGCAGGAAAATATAAAAAGATTACTGAGCACCTGCTGCAGGAAGAACCACACAGCACTCAGAGGGAGCAGTTGGTGAAAGCATGGAATTAGGTGGGGATTTCTATGGTTATAAAGATACACTTAAACATGGGACATCAGAAATAAAGAGATGACAGTTTAGAGAGCACACCGTCAAAGGCTACACACCACAGCTCTCAGGAGTGGGAATAATGGGAGAATCAGAGTGAGCCCCAGCAGATGGGCTATATCTTTAATAGGAACATAGGGTAGAGTACATGTTCTGTCACGTGCTTCCAAAAACAAACAAACAAGCAAACTCACTTCCATCCAGTTGATTGGAACTCAGAGCAACTGTATGGTAAAAGGTAGAACTCTCCTAGTGAGTTTCCAAGATGGCAACTCTTTAGGGAACAGAAAAGCTCAGTCTTTCTTAAGAAAAGCCACTGGTGGTGTGGAACTACTGACCTTGGGGTTCAAAGCACAACATGTAAACCCTACACCACCAACGGGCCTTTGTGTGTCATGTGCTTAGGGATGACTAATTTCTAAAATGTGGCAGGCGCTGGGGAGCCTGGGGTTATGAAACTGCTACAAAACACAAGTCATTCTGCCATTTAGCCAGGGGTGAATAGTGGTGGGGAAGGGAGAACCAGTGAGAGGAGACACTCTGGCCCCTCATCTGAGATGTGGCATCTCCTACCTGCAGGGGTGAAACAATTGAAGGCTACAAGAAAGGTGAGCAGTTGTGTTCCAGTGTGGTAAGCTCTTCACACACTTGATAGCACAGAATCCTACAGGAGCCTGAGGTCACATGGCATCACTAACAGAATCCACTAGAGTGCAACTGAGAACAGCCTTTTATCAAGGTCACTTGGATACAGTGTGACATATAGACAATGTCAGTTCATTTTAATTCAGACAATATATTACCACACCAACCAATTCTATTCTTGGATAATTCTTCAATTAGATAGATTCCACACACAATTAGATAGATAGATATCCACATACAAAAAAGGCTATTAAACCAGTTTTTACACAGTGAAATCAAACAAGAGTGAACAAGAATCAGACCTAATCAATGAAATAAACAAATAAAAAGATTAAAAAGTGTTTATAGACTTACAACTTGGTTCCAAGAAAACTTTCTGTATCTAGAGTGATAATTGATAAACGACCAATTTAAACTGTGTCACCACGAAGAATGAAATTCCTCTAAACAACGTGTGTGCTGACCATGTGTCATTAAATTAGATTAATGCACAAAATGAAAATTCACAACCATTGAGTCGATTAGGACACATAGAGACTTTATACAGCAGAGTGGCTCTGTCCCCTGTGGATTTCCAAGACTGTAAATTTTACCCATGAAAAAGGGTCATCTTTCTCAAATTAATACACAAAAGGACCTGAAGTTAAATAAAAAATTGCTGGATTCTGTCATTATGAGGAGTAAAAAGGAAATTCCTATAGAGGGATGGACGGGGGTGGGGAGGGGTGTGCACAATGTGACAGGAAACTGAGCCCATATTAAGGTGAGGTTTACTTAAGGAAATAGCTCCAAGTGGGTTCAGCACATCCTAGGGGGCAGGTCCAGTTTCAGCAGAAATTGGGAGACGAATCTCGGGAGCTGTATTAGGGCTTAAATTCTGAGCATCCCGGTTTCCCAGGGCCATGGACGGCACATATGAATTGGAATCAACTGATGGAAGTGAGTGCGCTTACACAGAGCTGTCACGGCCTTCATCCACTTGCAGGGTCCCACATACAGGAAGCCCTGAATTCTAATCATGAACCAAGGATGCAGACAACCTTGCCGGCCAGCAAAGGGCCTGGGAAAGGGCATTCCCTCCACCTCACTCCAGCCAGCCCAGGCCAGGGGTCACAGTCCTGGGTCATGCCCTATCGGTTGTGCCCTAAACCCCTTGGTCAGAAGGCCCTGGACCAATCTTGAAAGATCTCTTATCTGACAATGTACTGCCCCAATCATGGTCCCGTTCCTGCTTCTGTGGTCTAACTTGTGATGTATTGATCTGCCACCAATCATGCATTTGTGTTTCCTCTCTTCCAAGCCTTATTTATCTAATTCCTGATTTGAATACCCAGAAGCTATTTGGACTCCTGCGAATGGCCTCCCTCAACCAGATGATGTCTCTGTGACTGTCTCTTTTAAGACGGAACAAAAGTCCTCCTTAAATCATATTGGAGACTGAGGTTTTTGCACCCTAAAGTACAGCGCACGCTGAGTTCAG